AATCTTGGCAAAGCATGAGTGGAGAGCTTGAGAAGATTAATGATATAATAGCTCTGACCACACTGTTTAGTTATTTAAACTGGCAGCATCAGCTCAAATTGTTTCATGGCTTTCTGCAATGATACATTTAGGAGCATGCCTGGACAGGTTACAAGATGCTCACAGAGAACTCACTGCAACTCTTTCTGAACTCCGCCACGAGTCAGGAGTTTGGAAGGTATGACACCATCCGTGTAGTACATGCAGAATGTTTACTTGCCAGCAACTTGTTTGTGCACCTTCACCTATTTAACCTTTTAAAAAAAAGGTATGTAGACATGAGAAATCTGTCTGAGTGGTTAAATTAGGTGGTATGAAAATGTCCTCCTCATAGGCACATGTTTCCTCAAAAGTTTCCCAAAAGTCTTTTTTTCATCTAATCAACATGAAAAAACCCAGCCGTGGAGGGCAGATTTTTCTTGCAGTGGTGAGAAAAAGCTGTCAGATGAAGGATTCACGTGACGGGCCGACTGGCACATGACGCTGGATGATGATCTTTGGTATTTCTTAAGCGTCCCTGAGTCTTACGGGGGTGGTAGTGAGTTTGGTGTTTTTGTTCAAAACATCCCGTGTCAGGACGTCGGAGGATTACTGTAAGCTTAGCTCAGGTGACGTCTTGTGTGGGGGGACAGGTATGAGGGCCCTCCATGTCCCAGTTCCAAACCACTCCAAAAACAAGAAAAGTATCATATGGGGTGTTCAGATCCCACAGAGATACACTGGTACACGCCATCAAAGCCCACTTTGAAAAAGCTCACCAGAATTGTGTGTTACAACATTTCTCAGTTGCATTTCCGCTCCATGTTTTACCATTTTTCTAAAGCCCTTAAAGACAGGTTAAGCGGGCTGGTTTACTTGTTTAAATCATTATAAATGGCACCCTCAAAAATCCCTCCAAAGGGCTTATCCAGCTTGCCCTAACCTCAGAGCCACTCACAATGCCCTGAAGCTATTTGACCATGTGTTTACCAGTAAAATCAGATAGACCATGGGAAGTCAGATAGACCCTGTGAGGGCCAAACAGTTGTGGATCTCTCTTGTGGGGAGTGGATATTGTTGACTATCTGGCTATCTGGCTTTCATCGCAGAGTTTCAAACAGCGCGCAGTTAAGGGAGTGCATGAATGAGCTCTGCACTCTTACAGTATCTCTGGAATCGCATAAAGACAACCTTGTGCTCTGCAATTTAGTGTGCAGCGCTCAGGTGCTTGTGCATGTCTCAACCAGAGGAAAAACAAAAGTATGACTGACATAATCATGTGTCAGAAGATTTATGGTCAAAGAGAGCGAAGGGGAAAGAAAAACTGAAGAGCATATTTTCTTTCTCCTCCTCCTTCAAATTATTGTCTTTAGGGTTTTCCACTTGTCTGAGTAAAGTTCTGGAATCTGTTGAAACAGAATAATTCACACAAATTGTCAGAGCTATGGGTTAATAAAGGCCTTGTAAGATGAATGATTTAACAGCTCCTTAAGAGCGAAACTATGAGTCATTTCCTTATTCATTGCTGGCAAGACTAGTATTCATAGATTTTCTTTGGAAAGTAAATCCAAGATGTAATCTGTTTTTCATGAGTAACTTGCTACCACAAAGTTGGAGAGCAGACTGGACAAAGGATTCTGATGAATCTGCAGATGGTAATTAAATGGAGGGAATTTCCAAAAATAGATCCACAAAAAATGTATATGTATGACATATCAGTATATGTATATTCCATGTTTTTTCAATGGTTTCAATGAATGCGTGCATCATGGGATACATTTGAATGTCAGCTATAACTCAAGGCTGATCTAATGATAAAAACAAAGAGCAGGAAGTGTCTTGGTTAAATATGTTTTGAAGACTCATTGGCGGCTTTGGCTCTAATGGCTGGCTGGAGCTCAGTGCCGGGCGGCCCTGATGTAACAGGTCATGAGAGCAGATTGGGAAGCTGTGACAGACCTCCAACAATAACAAAGGGAGTGAGTCAGAGTACCGACCATAAATCTGCTGCTACCGCCAATTTACAATTACCACAGGTGATGGGTGAGCATGTGTGTGTGTGTGTGCGTGTGTGTGTTTGCCTTCATAAACAAAACTCCAAAGGGTAACTCAACTCCACTTCAGAGCAACATGGATATTACACCCCTGTACATCTTGGCATGGGTCTGGTCCTGTTTATGGAGAAACACAGCTAAGAGTATAATCAGGATCTCAGTGATCCTTCAGGCTGTCTGACATAGGCTGAAATATCAAAGAAGGTGGCATTTTGTGGTTGTGACTCAACTGGGATGAAGTGACTGTGGACTCTGTGTGGTGGTGCTTTGCACCTGGCTGGGAAACACTGCAGGTGGATTACCAGATCTAGTAGCTAAACTTCATTGTTTGCTTGAAAGACGACGTTTCACGCAGCAAATAACAGGTTTGATGGTCTGAATCTTGGTTCCAAAGCCTATTAATCTGCATTAGCAAAACTTAAGGTTAGCTCGTAACTTTAGAGGGCCACATTCAAAGAATCCATGCAAAACTGCCGTTTGAATATTAGAATACTGCAGGTGAAAGTAAATAAATGACACGCTTTAACGACTCAGAGATTCAAGTGTGTTGTCCGTGAGATAATGTGATGCGAGGCCCGCACACAAAACCCTAGTTTAGTTTTAACCAGAGCTTTTTGAGCAGCTGCCCTTTCTTATAAACCTCTTTTGTATCAATATTATGAAAGCCCAAAGCTTTTGTCAGACGGAGACAAGCCTCTGCTATTATCCCTTCACACCCTTTTTCTCTTTTTTCTGGGTAGATTATCACTGACACTGATACACGATATGGCTTATCTACTGTAAGTTAAACCTGATTTCTCAGTTCTCCCTCTCAGTTTTATTTTCATTAAGAATGTGTGTCCTCACTGGGAAAATTCTCAAAAATCCCAAAACAGGTGAGAACTTTACAAGCAACATTCGCCGGTCCGAGGAGATTATTGGGAGCAGGTTTTCAATCAACACCTTCGGGCCCATCTCCTCGCCCCACTTCCAGGCCGATGAGAGTGGAATCTGTAACGACTGTGGGCCTTAGCATCGTTAACATTTCCCTGACACGTTGGCCGGCCTCTCTTGGAGACCGCCCTGCATTTTCTCCGCTGCACTGGAGTTGTTGTAGCAACTAGTGGCCCTGGAGAGAATGAAGCAGATGTGCGAGTCATCTATCACCTGACAGCTCCCACTCCCCCAACTGAGCAAGTCATCACTGTGACACGTCTGCCCAGCCAGCCTCATCAATTACAGCGGTACCCTACTATTAGGGCACAAGTACTTTTCCCCTCACACATTCAACCGCTTCCCAGTCGGCAAGATGGACCCTCAATTAAGCCTGAATAACTTTCCCCTCTCAAAGAACATCTCTTTTTTATCCAAGTATTGCCCACATTGTGCTTGTCGTCTAAGAGTTAATTCATCTCTATGGTGACCACATAATCAGACATTTATCTTTATCTTATGGCGCTTTAAAGCCCCATACAGTGGTCCATACCTCAACATGGATACTATGTAAGATTCAGTGTGAACCATACTTAGTAGTAAAACAATCACTATTGTTAATCTATTCACATGGAATGAACAACCAAGATAATTCCCCTCACTAATTCACACCATATCCAAGCTATTCAAATACATTGCATTGATTATGGCAAACTGAGTTTTTTTGGTGTTTTTTTGTTTTTGGTATTTGCAATTGTTTTTTTGTTTTTTTTTCTCATGAACAGTTATATATCAGTGATGTGCAAGGAGGCAATAATGAAGAATTACGTCTTGTTAGTGTTATTCTGTTCCTGTATTCCATCAGTAGTAGTCATGAAATGCAGTAAACACAAATGTTTGAACACAGACACATACAAACAGTCTATTTCACTTACAATATACAGCTAAGGCAGTGACAGCTTGGGCCAACTTACAAATATCAGCCTTTTTTTTTTCACCGGGGTTTAAAAAAAATCTCAGAATCTGTGTGTGACACTGAATATGCAAAAAAAGATATAAATAAAACATTCATATAAAAATAAGCTTTTACAAATATATACTCTATAACCATTATTTACCAAACATGGAAAATGTGCCTGTGTTTTTTTAACAATGATTCCAGTTATTTCAGCTAGAAGTGAGTCTTGCCACTGAAGAGTGTCAATACAGCACTTACTTTTCAACCTCAACAAGTGGGAGTTTCTAGACTAGCAGCAAAAAGAGGGAAGACAAACTCATAAGAAGGCAAGAAGTTCGGTTTGAGTGGCCCACAGTGGTTCCCTCTGGAACAGCATTATTCTACAATGTGACGTTTTTCCGAAAAGATTCAAATCCAGTGTGTTAACTGTGGACATGTTTCATTGCTTTAATAAACTAAAACCTCATGATATTTAGTTATTTCTTATCCATAATGGACAAAATCAGTAGTTCTTTATAGAATAAATTAATAGTAATAGTTTCCATTCTCTAAATACAGTGTGTTAAATATTCCAAATGGCTGTATCATTTCATTTGTGCACATGGGGTGAGAACTACAGCAGTGTGTCCTGCCCAGCATCACATCCACCATCATTCATTTGCATTGGCAAAGTCCAAACAGTGAAAAAGTCAGTAGACATCCACATAGCTTAAAGTCTTGACATGTTGCTTCAGCGACCCAAACTGCGGTCACCCAGTCTCATTCGCCAGAGTTAAATTGTTCTCCTAACAGTGTTCTGTAATGCCGTTTTGAGACGGCATCCCAAAGAACTCCCCCGAAAGAGGGCTGAAGAGCTCTGTGTGCAAAAACAACCGTGACGCCCCGTCTTCTGCTCGCTGCTCACACAGCACAGTAGTTGCTCGCTGTGTATCCAAAGACCACAAAAGCAGCCTGTTTTTCTGTCTTTTTTTTGTTGTAAAATTGGTCCGTGAAAACTAAAAAAAAAATTTTTTTAAATCCATCATAACTCAGGCGCACACACCATCCAATAAATATTCTCATTTGCACGTGTAGACCTCTGTCCTCTCGCTGCAGGTGTTGCATTTGACGTAGCAGCACCACAGGAACTTGCAGTTGCACTGCCAGACGCGCGAGTACTGGTGCGTGTTGTATCCCCGGCCGCAGCACATCAGGTCGCAGCCGCTGATGTGCTGCATCATGGTCTTGTTGCACACCCGGCCCTGCGTGCCCAGGCTCCCCGTCACGGGGTCGGCCTCACAGTAGCTGGGCGACTTGTCTATGTACACCAGGTCCGTGTCCAGGGGCTTCCGGTAAGAGGAAGGCTTCTTGATTTTGAGGAATTTGGGGCGCTTGTTGCGGCTGGGTTTGACTGGCTCCACGTGCACGGCGTAGGCGTATTTCTCCTTAAGAATGTAGCCCAGCTCGCGGAACTTGGGGAGTGTAGTCCAGCAGGTTTTGGTTGTGCAGGAGCCCGAGACGCCATGACACTTGCATTCCAGCCGCATGTTCTTCTCCAGAATCTAAACACAGAAAAGCAACTCGGTAACACCGGAAAATGTTTCAGTTGTGAATCTTAGTGTCTTGTCTTAGCCATGTCATCTTAAATCAGACTTAGTGTAGATTTAAAGTAATATATATCCGTACTTATTCTAAAACCCTTAATTAAAATACCCGTGCATTTCCTTGTGACACCAGTTTTTGAAAAATGTGACTTACAAATACACCGTAGCTGGGGATTAAATACAACCCCAGAACACGGCACTGTGATACCATATACACAGAAGCCAAAATAATGTATCGGATTTCAGGCTCTGTGTGTGTAGTCACCACACACAACCCGCAAAAGTCAAGAGTGACTGTACAAGGCGCCGAGTGACTAGGATTAGCACTAAACCCTGAGCCGATGACAATGAGAAGTGCCACTGAAGTTTTCCTTGGCAACAAGGTCAATTGCAATTTCCCTTTTTCTAAAATGCTAGGTGCTTGGTATGCAATCTGTTGTCCGAAAGCCATTTGAGAAAAATTTATATCTGTGATCTTGGCAGGAAAGCTGTAACAGCAAACCCCAAATACAGACATGTGAACAAGGACAAAAAAGAAAGAACTTTTCCCTAAGCAAACCACTTCATAAAAACCTTGGCCTCAACTCCCCGATCCATCAGTTGTTCTGTGACTAACACTTGTGACAGCCATTGTCTGCACGTCTTCCACCGGGGAGCTGTGAACGGCGCTCCTGCCCAGTGTCACTGCTTTTGATTAGCATAAATAAAGGAGGGGTGGCTATCAAAACAGAGAGTCTATTTATTAGCAGAGAGAAAGGGGAAATAAGTGAGACCGCTCAAAGTTTGAATCCACGAGTACAATCTTTTCCCTGGGAGGCAATTTAGCTGTCCAGATAAGCCAATTTGAATTCATGGATGTGAAATGCATGTCGAAAACGATCTGTCCCGCACAATTGTGTTTGAAGGGGCTTTTCAGCCGCCGGCTCTGACGTGTTGGCTGGGTGAATCAGGCTTTCTTTGGTCTGAGTCAGGGAGAGGATATCATTTAACTTCGGCAACGCTGGCTCTTTATTCTCCACTACATCTAAGCATTACGTTGGCACATTTGTCTACCTAGTATCCAACATCTAGACCGGCTGGAGTCTCTTTGTCACTCTGCAGTGTTCTGCGACCATGCATGTCGGAAGAGCATTTGAATGAAAACAATCCGGATAAATTGTTCTCCTTGGTATTTTATCAAATGAGGGCCTTCTCTTGGATTTTTATGCTACAACTGACGTTTTTTTTAACGTCTTCCTGCTCACATGAAATTATACGTTCTGCAATTGCTTTGCTGTTTGCAGTTTACAACAAGAAAGGCCGATCGCTCAGCAGAACTATGTGATTTATACCAAGTGTTTTAGAAGACATTTCAAGTGGAATTTACCAAGTCCACAGTCATTTTCCTTTTTTAAATAACTGTAAACACCCCCGAGGTGGACGTGCAATCCCACCGCACCTGATGTGGGTCCGTATGATTGGGTGGGATGGTGGCTCCTGATTGTCATAATGGTAACCGTATACGGTCCCAGTGGTGCAAAACACGGAGGGACTGGGCTAATGCCTTTTTGTACAGTGTCAATCTGTTTTCAGAGCAGGGATCTGGGCTGTAATCAAACCCTGCCACTTAGACAGCTCTTTCCTAAAAGCCGCCCTTTATTCCACTTCTTGTTTGAGCCTGGCCCCGGTGCCCAGATCGCTGGCGAAGGTTCACCCACACCAAAGCATGGCAGAGACTGTTAACACACTGAGATCTACAGCTTCACCCCCACGTTTAATTCCAAAAGACTGTTTATGAACATTGAGGCTTTTTCTGTTATAATTCACATGAACACTAAAGCCGGGTAGATTTGGGTCTCCACTCACCTTGCGTCCCACCTCATTATTGTGGAGGTTCATGAGCGTCCGGGCATTCTGCTTGCTTTCCCGAGCGTCAATAAAAACTTTGGAGAAGCCCAGGCCGTAGCTGATATCTGCCGAGCAGCCTCCCCACTTCCATCCTTGGTCTTTACTGTAGAAACCCTGCTTCTCCTTGTCGCAGCTACAATCGCTCAGGTTGCCCTGTGTGCAGGCGGCTGTAATGGCATGGGCAACCCCCGCCGCAATGATGGCATAGGTGAACGCAGCCTCTTTGCTGCCTAGGGGAGCAGGAAAAAAAAGGTGCAAAATGAAATATAACAGGGATACATTCAGATTTATAAATTGAGAAGATTATTGTGTGTCTCTCTCCATTCAAAGGAATGGAACAGGCATGTAGAAGGGTTTTAAAAGAGGCAAAACAGATCAATTATTAACTGAATGTGTGCTTACATCACAGTCTTACTAACATATCACTCAAGGGCTGCAGTGTTTTGAAACCTGACCTGGAAACTGTCCTGCCCGTGAACCAAAATGTCTGCTGGCGGTATAGTCAACAAAGCTGTATGAATAACAGGGTTGTCGGCAAGGAAGGGCTATTGATCCACTTGGAAGCTGTTACATTGTGTGTAAACTCATAAGGTGGTGGAATCCAAATTTTTTTTCTGGTGTTATCTGTACCCACGTCCAACTAAGAAATCATTTACACACACGGAAATATCGATAAATCAGACAAATAGGTAAAGGTTAATCTGACCGGACTTTTCAATACAGACAATTCCAGCAGTACAATTTTCCGTCCAAATGACGGGTCAAGAGAGAGTTCTGCAGATGTCTTCTGTATGAACCCAAACTCTGCATCAAAGCAAAGAATTTTCCCTACATAACATAATGGAAAAAAAAAAAGAGCTCGCAATTAAATAAAAAAAACGTGCGTTTCTGAACAATATTAGCAAGTAAAGTTCATAATTTGACAATCTATGATACATTATCAGGCAAACAGGAAACTGCTAACACTGATTACAACATCCATCATATCTATGTGTAAATAAACTCCTCTTGTCACTGTTTGTCCTAAACAAACATCAGGCCTTCTTTGTGCTTCCTCCTGCCACCCGGCTCACTATGTAAAGCTGCCATGTTTCTGATAAACATCTTGGATGTGTGCCCTCGCCATTGAAGAAAAAAAAACTCATATTGAGGCATCAATTATGTGGACGTTTTTATAGACTGGATGGGCTTTGAGCCAAAAAAGAAGGTGTGTCACAGCAGTCAGTCTGTTCTGACGGCCCCGTTGTTAATTTTTTCCGCCTTCAGTTCAGAGTGCATGGGTTCACCACAAGAGACGGTATGAATTCTTCACAACCTTGCACTGAGAGATGAAAGATTTTTAATAAAAAGGTTTAACAAAGAGCCGCGGTTTTCCGTCACACATGAAGCTCCTGATTTGGCTCTAGTTTGCGTGGATCTCATCTCAGAGAGCTCAGTGTAACCACGGCCTTCCAATAAAAACGCGATTGATGAGGAAAATATCTGAAATCTGCAAGGTGCACCTCACAACGGCAATTTGTCCGCCGGGTGGCTCGTCCTTTGCTTTAAGAACAAATGCGTGCGACATAGCTTCCATCAGTCTGAGCGCCAACAATGGTGCTCATTTAAAAGCATTCGCCTTCCACGCTAATCTGATCAGTGAAACCAATCTATTTGGTATGGCTGTCCAAAGCGCAGACTCAAACGAAAATGAAAACTCTTCATAGGCCAAAACCTCTCTTTCATGATGGACCAGATTCCCAGTTCAGCAGCATGAAGAGATAATCTTTTTATTCCAGCAGCAGAAGACAACAATACCTCAAACAGCTGGCCGAAGCTGCTGACCATTGTGTCTAGGAGTAATTGTGCGTATGCTTTGTTTTTTATTTAAATGTATTAGCCAGGAGAAGAAAAAAGTGATTTACCAGAATTATTTTTAAAAGTCATTTTAGTTTCTATCATACTGCTTCTACCTCTTGTTACCATCCAAATAACTTTATTAGTTACTGACTCGATAATGTTCATGTTTCTTGACATTGGTCAGTATCCAGAATCATCAATAATCAACTGTCTTCAATTAATATAATCATAGTAAATGTAAAAAAAAGATACAAAGCTCCAAACAAAGGTTTTGCTTCTTCTAAAGATGGGTGATTCAGCAGCTGGAGGGATGATTTAGACTAATTTGGGTCTCTAATTTTGCCCTTTTAAGTCTTACTTTCCTCTTGGCAGTTCCTGACTGTAATTTATACCCGTGGAAAGGTCTACGTCTTTACAGTGAGAGCCACGGCACCTATCGCAAGACAGGATAAAGACCAGTGAAAATGTGCCTCTGGAGACTCTCCCCGGCTGAAAGGAAAGGCTGCCAACATTCACAAGAGCTTTGTTCCAATGCTGGCTTCAAATGCCTTTTATACATGCTCAGAAAAGCCCCACTCAAGGAAAAGGCTGGCAAAACTAGGCCTGATGTAAATGATGCGGGCTCCCCGGGGGACAATTCTTATACCTTGGCAGCAGCAGTGAGAGATATTTGATGATCCATATCATTTATATGCATGAGAAAGTGCGTACAATTAACAGAGATGATCACACCAGACAAAAGAGGGAGGATGCCTCAGTGTCAAAAGAGATCAGATTAACCACATAACAGATTGTGTATGATTCTGTACTTCTAGAACAGTCAAAGTGTTTCAGCTCAGATTGCCGGTGTATTTTCCAAACACTATTTGTCTTTGCTTTTGTGTGCAAGAGGGGGAAAAAAGCAACAACTGGCTGTAAATAAATGGAGAAATCGCCCATCTGGGCCTGGTGATACTGCTGATAAACTGCTGATAAATGCTGCTTACTAGAAAACAAGTTTTCTAACTGTGAACAAACGTTAACAGACAGCAACATACCCACTTTCAACTCTTTTCCGAAGACGGTCCTCTCCCCAAGAGCCGAGCAGTTCCAGCGCCCGTTTTTGAACTGAAACTGACACTCGTTAATGCCCATTTGGGCTCCCTCTCCGATGACGATAATGGCATCGGGGCGACTCTGGCAGATAATCCGTTGTCTGGGGGCCAAACCGGGGATCTTGTTACAGATTATGCTCGCACCTAGGGCCACCACCGACGAGAAGCCACTGCGAATGAAGATGGACAGAACTGAGAGAGGACGCCACCGGTTTTAGCTTTTATGCTTGTCCTGGTTACTTGTCAATGAGCAAAATGATCCAAAAACGTTTGATATAATATTTGAAAGGCCTGTGTGTAAAGTTGTTAAACATTATACTTTTTAATTACATTGTTGCTCCATTCTTGGAACGACTATGGGTTTGACCATATTTTAAGGTGTGAAAAGGGACCCATTAATAAGAACCAAGCTGTTACGAATCGGTGCACCTTACTAACTTTCTATTTGTCATCTATTAAATCATCTACCTGCATATGAGGAAATGTGGGACTCGGCAGAGGTTTCTGAAGGTCTTACAACAGCTGGATTTGTCAGTGTGTGTTTTCCCCCTAAGTCCTCCGCCTCTTGGGAACAACCGCTCAGAAAAGTCTTGATATCAAACCAACCAAGCTTACCCAATTTTCAAGTAAACAATCCCCAAGCAAAGCAAAACTCTTAGAATCCAGCGTCGCGTTCTCCGACTCATCGCGGCCCAGCTCTGGGCGGCTCGCGCACCGACCTGGTGAGGAACTCGGTGCGCTCACGGCGGCACAGGTAACTCCAGGGGAAGTCCGGACCCAGAGACACGCATCCAAAAGCTGCGGACGCTCGGGAACTTTTACCACCCGCCGAACACGATAGCATCCAGACCGCCCGTGCGTGGCCCCCTTCGGCTTGGCCCTCTGGTCATGGCGAGGGTGTCCCAGGTAAACCCCTCGAGGGTGAGCAAGTGCGATTATCTCTGCTGCTGACTCCCGGTGCCTTCTGCTACCCGCAGGTCCCGGCTATATATCTGCCTCATCTATCTGGGGCGTGTTCACAGGAGACATGGGGCCCTGCTGAAGAATCCCGCCAGGGCTGAATCTCAACACACACACACGAACACACACACGTACATACGCACACACTGTCACAGACAGAGGCAGACTGCTCTGCTGAGAATTCACCTTGACTATTGGAGCTGTTATTAATTACAAACATGCGCTATGTATTTTGTTGTGTGTTTGCTATCTTCAACGCTGTTTTATTTTTTTCTAAGAAACACAAATCAAATCTCTGTAACTCCACTACTTTCATGAGTAAAAATGGTTTTAAAGTCGAGACAAAGTGACAAAAGAGATTCCTTCCTGATTGGTTCTGTTTTCACTTTCGATTGTATTTCTATTATATTTTTTCTTTTATTGATGTCATTATCACGTTTAGTTAAAAGAAGGATTCGTTGACCTTTTGTATTTTGGCGCGTCCGGTGAGCGCGCGACCCCAAAGTGCGCCTCTGCCCGACCGCTCCCGGGTCCTGCTGCCTTTGACAATGGCGGCCTCTGGTGGCCAAGCGGTGACACTGCAGCTTAAAGGTGAGACACCGGCACTGTCCCTGCGCGCTTCCCGTAGCTCTGTCAAATTCGGTGTTGTGCTGACGTTTTGACTCCACAGGAGTTGGTTCTGGTGGTACAGATTGACATCAGTATGGATCCACACCACCAGCCTCTGATCAGTGACTGTCTGATACATATTTTCACTTTTCTGAGCGAGGAAGACTTAATCAGTGCTTCGAGCGTGTGTAAGGTAAGGTGGGATTTGCGGAAGTCGCTGAGAGAAATTTGCCATCATATCTGTCTCACTTATTTGATGTACTTTCAGGAGTGGCATGAAACTACAGAGAGTCCTTGGTTATGGAGGTGAGTTATCAGCTTAGTTTCTATTATTTTAATGACCTGGTGATCTTGTGTGGATAAATATTGTGTTACATTTCTGTCCAGTCGCTGACAAGTACTTAAGTCAATAAAAAAAACACTCCACCCACCAAAAAAAAGACAAAGACGAAAAAGTCTGATATACGGATCAAACCACCGAAACATTCCACACGACTTCAAATAAGGTTTTAAATACCAGTGGCAACAAAAGCAGCCCCACTCACATCAGAACTGATTGGTTCAATTATATGATTTAACTCATGAACGCATTTCAGAGCGATTTTCTCTAAATTGAATCAGAAACAGTTTACTTCATTATTCTTGACTTTTTTTCAGTTGAATATAGTAATTATTTTGAGTTTAAGAATAGTTTAGATTGCATTGCCGTGTTTGCTTCTCTTTGTGGCTTAATTCAGATGATTACAGGTTACTAGCATCCATCTCCATTAGTCTCTAAAATACACTCAGTTTTACATTGCTTATTATTCTCCATGTGCATTCCAATGATGGAGCCTTTCTCCCTCTCACTCTTTCTACAAAAAGTTGAAACTTCAAACTGCTGATAATCACCCTTTCAGGCACATCTCATAGAATCCGATGCCTCCTTTTTATGGGAAGTGTTGATTACAGCCGATCATACAAAACATTTTCAGCACATATAAAGAAAAAAATGTAGTATGCTGTAATTTACTGTAAGATGCAGCTATACCGCTTGTGGATTTAACTCAAAATCTTTGCCTCAGGTTCACAACATACCCAGTCATTTCCTCAGAGACCACGGCTTTTGGTTTTCCTCCCCCTGCTGCTCCTCTCGTCTTACTTGATCCACGTTTTGTTTGTAATTATGGCTGCTACATTTATGGCACATTTGTCATGATTTGATTAACAATCTCTTTTTTCTGCACCGCATGTGAAGCGCATGGACCCAAATGGGTATTTAGCAGTTTAGGCAACAACTCTTTATGTTTACAATAGCACAGAGCGGTAAAAAGAACCCCCCCCCCATTTGTGTGTTCGGCTCAGGAGGCTGTGTCTGCAGCGCTGGAGTTTCTGTAACCCGGCTGCCCTGCAGAAAGAAGACGGAAGTCACTCCTGGAAGACATATTATTTGCAGCGATCCCACCTGGAGATGAAAATGACGAAAGGCAGCTCGGGAGGTTACACCTGCAAAAGCCTGAGAGGGCACACAGGTATGCTCCTTGTTTTTTTTTTTTCTGTCCTGTATCTCTTGTGCGTGACTTGATTTTCCCTCTCGTCATATCTGTGTGTTAAACTTCTGGTCTGACCAGGCAGAGTGGTAGGTCTTACATACCTACAGGGGAATTCAAGCCAGCTTCCAGACCTCTGGGACAACAGCCCTGTAGTATGCAGTGCTTCCACTGATGGTACAGTCCGAGCATGGAACATCCAAAATGTCAGTGTAACTATTACTCTGCAGTGCTGCAGTCTTTTTTAAAATCTACCTGGAAATGGGTGTATCTGTTTGATCCACAAAGATATTCATATTTGTGTTTAAATCTGACATGAATTAGTTTACAACCTCTACTTCCAAACTAAGCCAGTCAGTTAAATTATGTGATTTTCTAAGCTCCTAATACTGTCTCTAAAATGACACACCCTTGTTTCTCGTAGTGTGAGCTCCTGTGGAGCAGTCCTGTGCAGAGTCCGTTGACCGGGATGGTTTGTGATCATAAGAATGAAGTCGTGATCACGTCAGACTGCACAGGCCTTGTTAAGACCTGGCAGGGCCGGACCGGCCAGGAGACGGCCTCCTTTCCCACCGCGTCTCCACACTGCTCACTACTGCAGTACACCACAAACAATGGTTGGTTCCTCACGGTAAGTTACCCGAAACTGAGTTTATAGATTCGAGAGTCATTGTGGAGCTGTCTTTTTGATCAAACTGCATTAGTCTTTGTTGCGCTCTCCTCCAGGTCGGAACCAGTCAGGGATCAGTGCGCACACTGGCTGATTTTACTTTGACTGAAAAGTCCAACATAATGGTGTGTGACACCTTTAAAGTCAACATACTTCAACTTTCACCTGACAAGAAATGGATCACTGCTGGAACTAAGGACAATGATGACTTAAGCCCAAAGGTATTTGCAGGCTGACAGAATGGGCGTATGTGTGTGTTTCCTGCTCCGGTCCTGTTTTTTTTTTCTCTTCTTTTTTTCTTTTTGCCCCATTGCCTTGGCACAAATAGTACAGCTGGGGAATAGATATTAAAGCATTTCTGCCTGTGGACTTGTGGGTTTCCCTTTGTTGCCAGGTGGTCTACACTGAGAGTTTGACCTCTCCGTCTAACGACGAAGATCCTCTGTGCCAGTCTGTGCCAGTGTCCGGCTGCCAGGCCGCTGTCTTCATACCCACACAGCCTGCCAGACTGGCCATCCTCCACCACAGTCAGCACGGACACAACAACAAAGCCCTCTCTGTTTTCGACGTCAGCATTAAAAAGACGAAGTACAAGTCTGAGATCCAGGGTGAGGCCTGATGTGCATAATGACTTGAAAACTGCTTTAGATCCGATGCCTGCTCATAGGGAAACAGTAGTCAGCTGGTGAGTCCTCTTGGCATGGGATCACTGCATTTTTAATCCAGGTTCTGCAGAGTTTGACAGTTGGTTAGTGATATTTAAGGGGAAATCCAAGAGAAAGTTGAACTAACATGACATCCATACTACTTGTAGCAATTAGAGTAAACCAGAACATAGTCCAGTGGCCAATCATTTTCAAAATGAATTCTTAAAATGGGCTGTTTGTCATTCCGCTCCTTTATACGCTTATCTTATCCAGTCTTCTCTTTATTAGTCCAGCAGGTGGAGTCCTTCCCCTTGACATTGAGCACGAGGTCGTCAAAATTCCTTCTAGAGGCCAAGAGCACCAACTGCTTAGTGTTGGCAGTTGATGAGCAGCTGTTGGTGTACTCGCTGAAAGGAGCCCTGCTCTCTAGCTTTAAAGATCACATTATGCCCATCTCATCCATATGCGTGGTAGGATGCTTCTCATTTCAAGTTCAGAGAGATTTGGAGAAGTTTGGAGTGCTTATGCTAAAAGATGAAGAGTTGCCCTGTCCTGCAATATTAAAAAAAGAATGAATAAAAAAATAAATAAAAGGAAAGTTTATGACTTCTAATATGGTGAAAAAGAGTCATTTGCTGTAGTCCCTTTTTGCTTAGATGGAAAACAATTAAGAGAGGCTCTTTTTCCTTTTTCCGTTTTAGAGTAAATGGAATGTAAGGAACATATAATGGAAGATTTTTTTTTGTTTGATTTAACAGTTCAGTTTTATTCAGCTTTAAAAAAAAAAAAAAAGGTTTTTAATGACTACAGTTGGCTGGTGTATCCACCTTGTTTTTTTCATATTTACAGGATAGTTTTCGTGTGGTGACGGCCTCACAGGACCTCTCCTTACGAGTGTTGACGTGGAGGAAGGACAGGGACCATGGGCATGCCCTAGAGAGTCAGTACCACTTGCTGGGAGGCACTCACACTATGTTCAGGTACCTCATTCTGTCAGATTTAACTGCCTGTGACGTGTGGACAGCTGTTGTATTTGGATTTACAGATGTGGATCATTGCTAACCGTCTATGTGACATTCTTCCCTGTGTCTGCCATAGCGTTTTTATATATGATATTTTCCCCATCTTCTTGTCCCTCTGGCAGAGGGTTCACACATGTTGCCTGTGACTACTCCAGCATCGTGGCCTCAGCGGAAGGGAAAGATGGCAAAGATGTCCTCAAAGTGTATTCTTTCACATCTTGAATATCCCTGTCCCATCGGGCAAATCCTGAATGGATCTTACACCACCAACTGGAAAGAGGAGACTTTGATTCCGTTATGAACTGTGTTTATTATGAACATTTGAGTTTTATTATGAACTCAAAATGGATGTTCTTTGATAGGACCATATTTTCACAAAAACAAAAGAGAATGTTGTTCTGTTGTTTCTTAATAAAGTTAAGAAACACAATAGTATGGGTAAGGCAAGTGCCAACTGTGTGAATATGCTTGTTAAGAAACTGTACAACGGTTTGTAGAGTTGAATGTGAGATGGTTTAAGGCATAATGCGATGCGCAAAATGTTCTGCTCACCTGATCTCTAGTAAGTTGCCAAAACTATTAAGCTGAGTTGAAAATAAAACTAAGGCAGATTAGCATTAGCATTTGTCCCCATCGACTTAATAAAAACATCGGATAACTTTACAACAGCAAATGTGGCCTTTTTTTTCCTCCAAATTATTTTGACAGAAGGCACGGAAAGATTCTTTTCCTCATCTGCATGCAGTGGGCTCCACATAGATGACTGGCTGTCCATCTGTTCACAGTTAGGGAGATGAGGCGTCCTCCAGGCTGCTGCTCATAGACTTCATATCACCAAGCACACACCTCAGGACTGTGCTCATGGACTCGTACACTTTGCTCCCATCCTCAGAACTGATGTCCATCTGTTACAGAAACAGAAAAAACATCTGCTGAAGCAAACCAGTTATCTTGAGTATGAAATTCGGGTTAATTCTGTTAATAACTCGCTTTCTTACCCACGTGAAAGCCTTGATGGTGCGATGCAGGAATGCATCTTCGACCTCTTTTGATATAGTCGCCATCTTAGCCATGCAATTCAGTATGCAGCTCAACGTTTCTTTTGGGGCCTGAGAGGAGATTAGAACCCAGGTTAATCCCTAAATTATTACGCTGGACTTTGGGATTCCTGTTAAATTGGAATACAAACGGAGCGAGGTCGGACCTGGCCAAGCGTGTCCAGAACAGTTTTAGCATCGGTCTCGTAGGGGCTTAGGGCCTGGGCATCTTGGACAGAGATGACCGGCTCCTTCAGTTGCTCCAACCATGCCCACATGAGTCCGGTCAAGATGAAGGGGTCTCGCTCCATGCACAGCCTCTCCCAGGCACCGCCTTGATTCAGCTCTGTCTGCTCACATTTCAGCGGAAAGGCCACGGAGTGGGTTATTTCCCTCACAGATAGGGTTTCTTTGTTATGACAGCATTTCTCTATGTTTTCTATTAACAACTCTATGGACTAGTTACCTGCCAGGCCAACACTTTGGTCTTGTGCTCTTCTTCTCCATCAATAAAAAGGTCCACTGCCAATGCCTGTGCCACAAGCAGCCTCCGGGCGTCCAGGGACAGCTCGGACTGCAGAGTGATGCAGGGAACCTCCGACTGCTCGTCCTCTCTCCCTTTAGACAATGTTCCGTTGACTCCCAGCTCTTCTCGCTGCTTTGCCTTCCATCTGGACAGCATGCTATCCTTCTGGTTGGTCTGATTTCCAAATGACTCGCTTCGCTGAATTGGTTTCTTCTTCAGTTTCTTCACAACAAATGTCCCATCTTTTTGTCCTTCCTCGTTTTTGACTTGCCAGAGGGAGCCCGTGGAGCTGGTAGACACTTCGGAGACGTTGCTCTTCTGAACTCGACTCAGGGATGCCGGGAGAATGACGTCAGACTTGGACATTGAGGCCATAGGTTGTGTTAGGAGGTTTAACTGTGAGCCCAGGCGCCTCAAGTCAGACTCACTGTAGCTCAGACTCTTGCGATGGTAGAAGATGGGGGGCTCATTGAAATGCCTGGGTAAGGTGAGCGAGCCAGGCAAGCGGGGCTTATTATCAAGTAAATCCGGCTCCATTTGCTCGATGACACTGAGGGTCATTTCTATGTCTTGAATATCAGGAGCTTCCAGAATGTCCTCCTCAATCACCTGCCGATTCTCTGCGATGTCCAGCAGCAGCTTACACACGAGCTGCACTATCTTGGGCAGGTGCCTCAGCTCCTTCCTCTCGGAGCCATGCAGAATGTGTCTCTGGCGGTTCAGGTACTGGGACAGCGTGAGGGGGTTGGATCTCGGCCGGGCGCAGGAAAACACGCTCCTCAAAGGGACAAGGAACTGAACAAAATCTCTGACGCAACGCAGCTGACCTCGGGTCTGGATGGAATTCGGCCGTTTGGCACGGACATACAAAATAGCCTGGTTAGCTGTCAGTCTGGTGGCATAGGCCAAGAATGAGGCCAACAGCACACCTGCAGGGAAACAGAAAGAAAAGGACCGAATCTTGATGCAAGGTTTTCAGATTAAATGTATAAATGTCCTCAGTTGCTTTATATCTTTTTTTTTTCTAATATACCTGTTCTGCCAAGACCGGCATGACAATGGACTGCAATCTTTCCCTCCTGCAGAGCAAAGGCCATCACCTTCACCATGTCCAGGATGGTGGTGAGATTGGCCACTCCATAGTCACTCCAGCCAAAATTGTAGAAATAAACTGAAATTGTAACAGTTTCAGTTTCCCCGTTTACAACAATCTCCATCCAATAAAGCTTAAATACATACTGTTGTTCTCCATGAAGACCTCTGGGCGGTATGAAAACCCACTCTCCGGCTCCAGAGGTTTTCCACAGCTTGCATGCTCTCCGGGTATCTGTAGATTGATCACGGTTTTAATACCGCTCCTTCAAGTAAACACACCCAAACAGAGCACAGAGCAGTTAATCAGTGCCATTCCATCGGCTTTCCTCGGGAGCCTCCAAAATCAGCTAACATTTATGCAAAGAGACAAATACCTTTTGAACTGATCAACTATGTTATACTTTTCGATAATTTCCGTTGAGGGCCTGGACATGGCAAGGAGATGGTCAGTAATCCTAGAACAACAGAAAAAAACAGCCAAAGAGGTGTAAGAGGGGTAGATCTGAGGGCCCACCTGTCTGTGTCTCAATACTGAAGCCAGTTCACAGTGCCAAAGCATGTGTACCATGATGAGTAGAGGCCTTTTATGGCCTGTTGATCCTCACTCCAGTAAGTTGGGTTGTCATACTTGCAGGTTTCTCCTCCACATCCGATGGAGCATTGCATATGTCCGGGGATGACATGTCGAATAGCTTCTCCTACTATTGTGTATTTTGCTCTTGGTGCTTTTACTGCAGTTATTTTAACGGGACAAGAAAAAAGGAAATCATCATCAAAATTACACGGAAACAACGCCTAAAGGTTTTAGAAATAAGTTATCCAAGGAAAAAAAATATTTAGGTACCCTCTAAATCATTTTGCATGTTTCAAATGTCAGCATTTGTTGTCTCTGTCAAATCTAGGTTGTACTTTGACACCTAAATAGTTAAGAAGTGTCTAATCCTTGCTTGGCACTTCGACTCTGTCAACAGGACATTATGATAAAAATAGCCGCTCCTCTCACAGTTGAGATGTACTTTACCACTGCATTTGGTCAGGAGAAATCACAGATGTGGCTGCTCAGCCCCAAAAACGAGTCATTTTGTAAGAGGTGTTATCCTTACTTACTGAATTCCATCAGAGATCCACCAGCCTCCTTCACATTGAATGCCATATGAACATTTGTTCAGGTTAACAGTCATTGCAGAGCCTGTACACAAAAAGAATTTTTTATTCTGTGACACACTTTGTAGTGATGTGAAACATTTCGGGCTCAACGTAACCTTCATTTTAAAATACAGTACAAAATTCTGGTCATAGTGTCTCATCAGTGTCCATGTCCAAACAAGCAAACACGTGATCACTATACGTACAGAAAGTATTTGTTTGAGACTAAGTGATCGAAGTGTGTCTGCTCATGTCAGGAAACACTACAGATTCCCAGTCACAAATAAAGATGAGCATTAAAAATCTCATCAGGTCAAATGTAAAGCATACATGATCTACTTCAAAGTGTTGGCACTGTGTAAAGGTCAATGATCGTTTCAGTTCTGTGCCTCATTAAAAACAAAACAAATCACCCTAGAATATAAAACGATACAGAAATTGTAGGTCATATACATATAAGCAAAAAAGGTTGATTTACCTGAAGCAATTGGGATGAGATGTGTGTGGCCATCTTCTCAGAATAGAAATGTCTCACAGGTACATGTGCCAGCGTTCCTTAAACCTTTCTTCATGGCTCTTAGGCTGCCTTAACTTCTCCGGCTATGTGAGAAGTCAATCCTGTGACTCTCCTGATTTGAACCTCGATAGATTATGTCTGTGTTGAGAGGATGGGCGGCACAAGCACCTTACGGATCCCATGTGGACCTCTTTGAGGCCATCTATAACGAATCAAGTATTGGAACAATTTGAATGGCAGTGCTGGGCGGAATTGCGTCCTTTGCAGTGAGCTCCACACAAAGGTTCATTCTGACAATCAGCAGGGGGGAGAAAAGGCTATTCTTGACTCCTCCCAGATTAGGATACTAATCTTGTTATGCACAGGTATAAAACAGAGTACCCACTCCTGCACAAAACTCCCGCTAAATCCACATCGAAGCTGACTTAAGCTCTACTGCATGATGCGTTTGTTAATAATTATTATGATCAATTACCTTCTCACCTGACTAACAGTGGATCTATAATGTGTGATTAATGGTATGGTATAAACGTGATCAAGGCTTTTTAAAGAAGAGTTTGGAGGATTTCAAAAATAGATACAGTGTATACTTAGACTCTGGGGCTGTACTTTGTGGTGTAAATTCTGAGTGACATGGCAAGTGGATGGAATCTTATTGGCTTACCTGGCACCTCACTGAAGCTGGTTAGCTTCTGATGAGCGAGAGGAGATCAGTGTATCACGTATAGCATATGACGAGAACTCAAATCCTCTAACTCGGATGCAAAGTTAAATTAAAGGTCTAAATGTTACTTTACCGCATGAAAGATGGACAAAAAAGGCTCACTAGCCTCAATCATATCTTCATTTGAGTTTTGAATAGCTCTGTACTAAAAAAAATCTAATTGGTCCTCAAGGTAATTCAAAAACTAGTTCATCTGAGGAAGCCACATATTTCAATGGAACTTCTTTTTCCTTCAACCATCTGTGCGTGCATGAGGTGAAAAAGGAAAGAAAACGCTTTTTTAGCCAGACCCACTAGAGCTGGGTCATATAAAGCTTCAAATGTGAAAATCATTTTTCATACATAACATTTCAAGTTTAATTTTGACATTTCACAAAAGATACATTTTTCAAATGTCTTGTCTATGTTTCTTTGGAAACTTATCTATTAAAAAGACAACCAAGGCAAAATCAAATAAAAAACAATGGCAATAGTTGCAACTCTGATAAAGTTGAACAGAACAGAATGTATTACGATGATAAACAATGAAGACAGACAATGGAGAACTGATAAGGAGGAGATGTCACATTGTCTATTTGTTGAATATTTGACATGCGCGTTTAATGTCTAAATCAGGGGTCACCAACCTTTTTGAAACGGAGGGCTACTTCATGGGTACTGAGTCACACGAAGGGCTACCACTTTGATACACTCTTCTGAAATAATACATTTGCTCAATATGCTTTTAACTGTACTTTATTAATAATCATTAATGATACTCATTTGTGACAACAGTGACAACAAAATGGGAAACATATCAATATCCACCACTTTATCTCTATTTATCTCAGCAACTGTTAACTTTTCAAATGATCACTTACTGTACATCACTACATTTACATAGGAGTTTTCAATTTCACTCATTTTCACTAGCCACTGACAAAACCTTTTAACAAATCATGAACTATGTTGCACCATGTTTCAAAAAGTTATCAATTATCTAATGTTAAAGAAAAATCAACTCACATATTAAAAAGAAATCTGAAATCTCATGACCAAATCTTTAATAGATTGGCATTGCATGCTGTTCACCAGTGCATTGTAATCTGGTGTGTGACTTGACACTGCAACTGTGAGTGCATATTTCAGATGTGCTTTTTCTGCCTGTAGTGCGATTCCCGGTGGCTAGTTAGCATGCTAGCTTTTGTGTCACGAAGTGAAGTGTCTCTCCACATTGTGCCGCTTTGCCGTCGCCACGGTTGCCCCGAAAATCAGACACACGCAGGTTTCTTTTACAGTTGTAAAAGAGAACTCCTCCTCCCATTCGTTGTGAAAGTGATAAGTTTTCTTTCGTTTTTCTCCCATGTTTTTGGGGTAAGAAACTGCACCCATCTCCGCTGTGCCTGCTAGCTTACTCTCCACTGACACTGGGTTTGTTTTCTCACGTGCACGATACTGACCTTTGAACTAGAGAAAACTTAAACTTAATATATAGTGAACATATTTTTAAGATATTGTCATTTTAAATCAAATCTATATGAATGCAAGTGTGATTAAAAAAGAATAGCAACGGAACAAAATTTAATTTTAGACGCTGCTCACTATTGAGTTGTGCTATTTTTAGAACAGGCCTGCGGGCGCCTCGGGTGGTCCGTGCGGGCGACCTGGTGCCCGCGGGCACCAGGTTGGTGACCCCTGGTCTAAATGATTAACTTTCCAACAGATGGCAGCAGATATTCTCCTGTTACTTCGACAAACCCTGTCTGTTTGTTCCATTTCTATGACAACGACCGTGCCGGCAGAAACGTTTCCGTGCTCCACATCGGCAAGTCGCGAAGACTTATGGGTTATGAGTTCACCAACCAGAGACTGCAGCTGAGACTCAAGGGCCGTTAGCCAGACAATGACTACATTTCCATGGGGGCCTTGCGAGGGCTCGCAAGCTTTCCCAGCTGGTTGCGTGGGCGTCTCGTCTCAGCCAACGGAACGTTCAACCGTCTCAAACAAGTAAGTTGAACTACCGGAAATGAAGCTGTAACATCTTCAAAATGAGAGCGAAACGTTCGCGCTTGTCCGAGGACTGAAAGAAAAATGTCTCAACTCTAGAAATAGTTCTGAATTTGTTCATTTTTACTTTAGAGTGTAACCAGGTGTATTTCCGATTGCGCACACGAGCTGACGGCGAATTGTCTCAATTCGTTCTTTTGTTTTGAAAGATAGAAAGCGGAAACAGAAGAGCTCTGCTTCGCAGCTTTGGCAGATGGTTTTCCCACTCCGGCTCTATCTCTCCCGCAAGCCGGGGAGAGGCAAAGAAAACGCAAAGGAGCGCAACGATGGAGCATTTTTAGGAGGCGGCAGCGAGGAATATAAACCGCCGTCATCCACATGACCAAAGACACACAGGCGGATAAGAAAAAAAATCATGCAATTTAAATATCGGCGAATTTGAGCGACCGGCTTCTTCTTCAAGGTTAGACCGCTTGAAGACCCCCTCCTCGTCATCTTCTCATCACGGATCAGCCGTTAGGTGATCTACGCCGGTACCGACCATGTCCGCGGAGGAGCAGGGCTACCCGGACGCCGGGATGCTGCTGGAGGCCAGGCCGGAGTGGCTGCGGGCAGAGGTCCAGCGGCTCTCCCGGGAGCTGAGCGAGACCACCAACGAGAAGATCCAGGCGGCGGAGTACGGGCTGGCGGTCCTGGAGGAGAAGCAGCAGCTCAAACAGCAGTACGACGACATGGAGGTCGAGTATGAGGCGATCAGACAGGAGCTCGACCTGCTCAAAGAGGTAGGTCGTTTAAGAAACCCCCATACTGATGCTCACTTCAGATGGATCCCCCTTCCCCGAACATAGAACATAATACCAATGCTGATAGACTCATGTTTCCTTTTCACATTTCAGTCGCTTTCTGTGTTCTGATCACATTCCAGTCCAATTCAATGAGGTGTTTTGCTATGGCATTAGAGCAATCAGCCCCCTCATCCTACAAGGTCAAAACTCCAACCTGAGGAAGTGAGGCTTCCTGTTTGGACTGCCCCACACCCCCATCATCTCTGCTCTCAAGGTGTCCCACTTGCTCTGTCACCTTTATTTATTCATACGCCTCTATACGGCCTTCTCTCCAGCGACTGCTCGCCTTAGTGTGTTTCCACAACCTTTTCTTTTAGTCAACCCAAACAGATGTGTCAACAACTTAAACAGGCCGGTGATGTGTACCGCTGTTTTTATTTCACACAGGCCTGAAAAGGCGGTAGGAGAAAAGTATTTGTGTTCTTTTAATGTTGACTTACTGTTGGTATCTAAGGTCAGATTTCCACACGGGGATAGGAAGTATGATGTCAGTCAGTTATCTGTTTGGAGCTCAGGCAGGCCCCGGCAGGCTGCTTCGGTTGGGATGGGCGGGGGATCGTTTGAATTTTGAACCTTCCCGCTAAGGAGTGGACAACTCGCAGAGGAGGCCAGACGAGTTACAACCGTTGGGGAATGGAAAGAATGTTGAGGGCGACGGTGAAAGTGGCCCTCTGGAGTCAGATAAAGGATGTGCCTGTTTGACTAAACAATGCTCCGGCTTATTCCCCCGTGCTGTATCATGCTGTTTCCAATTTTCTTCCCTGGAGCAGGAGCTGGTCTCTGCACTGTGGAGAGAACTATGACTTCAGTGTGACATTAGATAGGCAGCCCTATTAAATACTGCTTTCCACTTTCTGTACCAACAAATAACAGCAGGGATAAAGGAAGAGGATTCCAGCTTTGTGACTCGGGCTTGTTCGTGATTGCTCACATCCTCCCTTGTATGAGTTCCTCCTGTGGCCTCTCACATGTCAAAGCAACCAATAGCTGACGAGTATGCTTACTTCATCGCATCCCCCTTCGTCCCTTGCCAGAAACCTGCTGTTTGCCTGTTTGGCTTTTTGAGGGACGCCGTGACGTTTTCCAGCTCTCTGCTTCTCCCTCCGGTCTCTCTCTTCCTGTCTCTCTCCCCGGTGGTGGGAACACAGAAGAGGAAGAGCTCTCTGGGCTGCCTCGGCAACTGCCGCTGGATTTTTTTGTCCCGCGTGCTTTTTCTTGGCATGCAGATCCTGCTGTGTCACAGAGGAATGACAGCAGCAAGAGGCTGTGAAAAACGGAAACCAGCTGGGAAATGGTCTAACGAAGTAACCCAAATGTAGCAAATTAGAAGAATCAGGACATTGTTTTAGACCTTGTATTTGATTTGAGGAAGTTTTGTTTAATAAATAACACAGCCCACAAAAAAATAAACAAACAAATTCTCCCAGATAGTGTTTGGTCGACCGTCTCACAACAGACTCCAAACATCCGTCTGTGTGGTAGAAAGGGGGGGGGGTTCTTCTTCAGCCATGATGCTGGTAATGCAGGTTTCAGATCAGAAATAACCTTTAGAAGACCACAGTTATGTTCAGCGTATTTCACCACCCAACCCCCCAGCCAGCCTTTGTTTGAAGGGCTGAATTGATGCTATCACAAGTCAAACATAAACACATTCAGACAGCCCCCCTCGTCCTCTTTATTGCTTATCACAGAGAGTCAAAACAAGCTTCTGTCTCAAAGTGGGGAGAAAAAAAATAAAAAAGCTTATATGAATTCTGCTCACAGGTTAGGGTTCAATATATTAAAGCTGTGGAAGCCAAATTCCTTACCGGTCACCCCTGGAGCACCTTTTGTTCACGTGAAGGGGTTTATTGGTCAAACTTAAACTTACCAACACGATTCTTCCACCGCTTTGACCCCAAAGCAACCGGGCGAATGGCTGGATGGTCAGGTGTGAGTGCCCTGCTGTGCTGGGCACACAGATGCTGTTTATCCTGCTGGCTCAGATGTTTGGATGGTCCTGCCCTTCTGAAAGACTCAGACAAACTTGAATGGACTGTCTGGGAGATTTACAGGGTTTCTGCACACAGGATCCCAGCCTGACCTTAAACTGCCTCTCATATTTGGTGGCATGTACAAACACAGCGCTAGAGAAAATCTTTCAGATTGCTGTGCTCTCATGGGCGCTTTAATGCACTTAATCAGCGAGCCAACTGCTGCTATTTTACCAGATTTTCACTTTTTCACCAATACTTGGACGGGGTTCTGCCTTCAGCCTCCCCCACATCGCTCTTGAGGCAGGAAGATGGAGGAATCCTGGCCATTGCTGTTGCTTAGTAACAGCCCTTCTCGATGCCTCGGTTCCAGCGGCCGTTCTGCTTCCTCAGCAGGTTCTGCTGCCCGAGCACGCTGGCCGGCGAATGCTGAGGGACGGGCTAAGGCTTAGCGGGGACACACGGAGCCGTTAGTTTGGAAGCTGCTGAGCATTACCTCTCAGTCCTGATGATGCGGGTATCATTTCTGATTTCTGTCTTTGCCATCTCTTGACACCCTCCATCTCTTCAGCTCAGCGGGAATTAGCTTGTGTACACACTGTGGTGTGTTGATCCCCTCTTCTCTCATTCAAATGCCCTGCATTGACTGCACAATGTGACAGTAGTCCTGAACAGAGGAGCCTGGCCCCCTGCCCATATGATACCTCCAATAGTCCCGGGCTGCAAAACCCCTTCTCATAGACACTTTCCTGACCACGCGTTATGCTGTTTGTCCTCCAAATGTTTTGGAAGCATTGCATTTGTGCATACAGAGCTACTCCCTCACAGGACTGTGCCCTTAAAAAGCCGCCTTGGGTTGCCCGCCGTAGTATTTAAGAAGTGACTGAGCGGTGTGCACATGAACCCAGTCCTCGTACAGCCTGCTGAGCTCAGTTTCAGTCAGAAGGTAAAGCAGCTTATGGCATCGCACCACGCTGCAGCTGTCTGAGGAGCGTAAGATGAGGTTCCCTCAGCTGGTGGTCATAAACTTTGTTTAAGCCACTCACAGGTGACATCACGTGCAACACCCCGCCTCCAGGTGTTAATACAAGTCTGAGAGATCCTGAAACTCCGGTGACCCAGAGAGGTTTGGACAGCTCCACTGGGTCTGGCGTCCAGCCCTCCTGTGCTGTGTGTCATGGGATGAGCTCAGTGGCCACAAAGACGTCATCCTCTCTCCAGAGACAACAGACCCATTTTCTTGAATTCCGTGTATTTCAGGAGGCTGCTTCTATCTTTTTTTTTAGCCTAAAGACTTAGTTGTAAACAATGGTTTTGAACCCTTCTGGTCTTGCTGTCCTGCCTGCGTCAAATATTGGATATGACTGTTTTTTTAAAGTTATTTTTTGCTAAATTTAAAGCTTAACATCCTTAAGCTCAGTCAAACCTGAGGTCCAGGCCGCCAGTCCCTTTGTGTGGCTTAGTCCACTGGGGTTAACTGGTCTAGAGTGTCACAGATGTAGAGAGGGTTAGATGGCAGAGGAACACAGTGCATGACAAAGAAGAGATAGAAAGAGGCGTTCCATTGTGGCTACATTTGAAAGGGGTGGTCACTTTTGTCCCTTTAGAAACGGCAAACCACTAAAGGATGTGTGCCAGTGTCTTTAAACAAAGATATCTGCTCTGACTCGAAGCCTTTTTTATGAAGTCATATGGATGCTGATTGGATGTCACCATCCTCAATAGGAAGACACGAAAGCCATCTGGTGTTTTAGACTAAAAGTTACAAATAAAGTCTATCAGACTTTACGGGATCCATTCATCACCAGCTGTTTCTCTTTTTTTCCCCCTATCCTCTAACTATAATTTTCACTCTTAATCAATAATTTCTAAACGTATCATCTAATTCTAGAATCTAGCATATGCTAAACATGCTCTGATCTGCTGTTTTACTCCATGATACACTGTATTTAGCAGAATAGCAAGGCTTCTGTTAAAGGGTAATCTTTTCTAAATGGCACTAAATAAAGTCCCAAATCCCCTGCACTCTGGGCATAAGAGGATGAATCCCAGGCTCTCTGTGCAGGGCTTACAGCAGTCTGGGAGCCTGCCAGGCCCGGCCACACTTCCCCTCAGCCTCAGCCCGGGACAGGTACGGGGCTTTTGTGGAAATGCTGCACAGAAGCTGGCGGGTGCCAAGCGTTGTAGATGTTGGCAAGTCCAGGAAATCTCCCCCATGAATCTCAGTTTCAGTAAAGTAATTACAAAGAAAACAGTCTTTATAATTCCACGAATAAAACTTCCAGATAGCTGTGTGAAGATTCCCCTCACACTGTGGTATTAAAAAAAAAAGAATACATTTTTCTTAGCTGAAATGGTCCACTGCTAGTCCTGTAGGATTTTTAAAGCTTTTGTCCTTGATTCTGATATACCATTAACACCTCTGCAAAGAGCATATTTGGATGGATGTTTGTTTTTCCTTCACCTTAATGAGTGCATTGCTTGCATTGTAAGCTATGTTTGGCTTTTTCTTTACTCAGGAAGAACTTGACAATTTCACATGGAAAAACTCACACATTTCACAGTCTGCGGTTGCTACTGTAATCTTATTTGCGGCCATCTGTTGGAGAGCCAGCGTCAGACCCGTTGACTCAACAAAAGAAGTAACACATTGATAAAGAAGGCTGGCTTTGTGCAGGCTACTGAGTCTAAGCTGATCATTAAAAAAAGAAGGAAAAAAAACACCTAACACACTTTCTACATAGCATAGTGTTCAGTCAGAGGCTTCTTCAGCTCTGCTACCACAAAGAACCCAACAGGAAGTCACTGCTGCAGAGAGCAATGACTTTATTAAATTTTTTAAATTACCTCGACTAATGGGTAAAAACGGTTTTGCTTCTTTTTTCTGGAAAAATAACTTCCCACTTATTTAGGTGTTATGTTATTTGATTCAATTCAGTGTGTAATCAAGCATTAGCAGGAGCGTGAGCAGGAAAATAATTTACAGCTGCTGTTTGTAGAGGTTTAACTCGTCACATTATTGAGCTACAATTAAATGGATACATTTTAGTATTTCTTTCATTAGTTAGCCTTTTATGAAGTCACAGTAAATAAAGCCTGAACTTGTGATGTGACTAATTTTCTTTTGTGGAATTCCATTTTTGTTTAACAGCTGCTCGTGCATTAACTCGAGTCAGAACTGTATATAGGGAAGCCCAGCAGGGTCATGATTCTGTCACTGTAATCCAATTATCGAAGGCCGGATCCAGATCAGGCAGGGGTCCAGGCTAAAAGCAGGGGATGAGGTCAGAGCAAAGACTGTAGGCCTCGGACAATACAGCATGGCTCACTCAGGCAAAGGTCAGTCTCAGGCTTTGCTTCTTCCAAACTGCTTCGACTAGAAACTGATACAGATTTGCCAACAAAGAGGGAAGCTGGAATGCACATACCCTCCCACATTCCTAGTTATGGTAACTGTGTGGTCTCAGTGTGTCATTTAGGCCGTGTTTTAAACTGATAAGGCGGAGGCAATCCTCTTTTATTGTTGGAAAGATGTTTCTGGGTGATTTATTGTCTGATGTAGTACTTTTTATTCTTGTCCAGGCACTAACGCTGTGGCTTGTGTTACTTTGCTCCGTGGTAACATAAGCTTACTTTTTAAGCTTTCGGTAACTCAAGAGGCCATGTTATATAATCTGTGTGGTAGATATTCCATTCTCCTTCCTCAGACACAAGGTCTTGTTAGCTTGGTGCCTGTGAGTCGCTATTCATGTGATGACTGTGGCGTCTTACATAAAAAGATGAATCAGCTGGACGTGTGGGTAGAGCATAGGTTTGTTACGGACTCCTGCATGATTCCTTAAAAGGAACATAAAAATTGAGTATGTGCCCTCTGCCAGAATGCCCACAAACCCTTCCATGTGTAGACTTGGATACAGAGTCCACGCAGCATAACTGACACAAATAAAAGACTGAAGGCCTCCAGCGCTTTTTACAGCACTGCGTGGTAGGGAATCTGGTCATAAGCGTTATCTTAGTCACAAGGAGTCAGGGTCTCTATCAGATCTTTCTTCTTCCTTCCATTGAAATGAGGTCCTAGCTCACCTCCTCTCCCCTCCCGCTCTGCTTCCTGTTTACTTTGCCAGAGTCTTTTTATAGAAAACAGGAAGCATATGAAATGTAGCTTTGAGTTGGTATATTTTAGTGGCGAAGAAGAAATTATCGCATGCAGGTCATCAAGCGAAGCACTTCTAAGACAATAGCTCAGGTTTAGAATCTAATGGTTTATTTTAAAATAATAGAGGTATGTTTTTGTGTCTTGCACTTAAGTGCTATTTATTCAGGGTTTTAAAGAGCTCTGAACAGTC